TTTTTTGCATCGCATCTAGACCCAACTCTGCTTCTTCCCAACATATGGGTCCTTTGGTTTACTTTTGCTTCGAGCAGACAAGAAAAGAAAGAGGGAGGCAGCTGCTTTGAAGAAACGTTTTTCTGTAGTCACTTGCTTGGTGGAGTTAAGTGAAATGTAATCACCGGTAAAGAGGCTACAACTTAGGCACTACAAATATTCTACAGAATATTCTCACTGGCATTTGAATTCTGCTTCCCCAGCCTTTAACTTTCATAAGGAATGTTTACAGTATCAAAAGAGCTATTTCTCCTCCTTTCAACTCTCTACAAATATCATTCATGACTGCTCCTTTTGAAAAGAAATGCCAAGATATCAAATTTCATGTCAGCAAATTTCATGATTCGGAAAATGAGAGAGGAAGGAAGGACGAAGGCTGCTGAACTCCAGCATCATCTCGTCATCAAAGTTCAGTTTAAATCCAGTTACTTATTATTAGCATTATTATTATTATTTCTATGTAAAATTAAAATTTCTGCACATTAAAGCATCGTGAAAAGAAGGAATCACCCACTTCCAGTACGACTTACTTTTAGCATATTTAAATATAGCTTTATTGAATAGATAAGCAATGCTACACTAGTTAATTACAAACTTACTTAAAGAAACCTGGAGAGATTTACAATTTAATAAAGATCTCTGCTTTTCACTTCTCAAATTTCTGGCCCTTGTGAATGAATGAATATATTTTGTTCATGCGGAAGTTACAATGGCACGAATCTATTATGTTGAAGAACCTGAATTCTGGTGCCTTATCCTACAGTGTTTAGGAATATTGCAAAGTTTTACCCTGCTACAGTACTGCCTCTTGTGTTCTTGCAACTGTTCTTTTGACACAATTCTGACACAACTGGAGAAGAACCAAAGCTTTAAATTAACTAATTAGGAGCAACCTAATACCATGTAACGAGCTACTTTTGTGTGACTAGCAATTTATTTGTTTGTTTAAAATGTTTTTATTTTGCTTTTCTCCTTAAAAGAAAGGTGGAAAACAATATTTTAAACCAACGAAGCCCCAAGGCAGCTTACATAATTAAAAATACATATGTTTGATTCTTTTTAAATATTTGTAAACTTACTGTTTTTAGCCAAACGAAGCCACCCAAGGCAGCTTACAAAAAAAATAAAATTATGTAAGCTGCCTTGGGTGGCTTCATTTGGCTAAAAACAGTACGTTTACAAATATTTAAAAAGAATCAAAGACCACACTAAAATGGTAAACTAAAATCAAGACCAAAAACAGATTCACAGCAACAAGACACAACACTCAATTTAAAAAACTAACTTAGACAGCCTATCACTATGGGAAAGCCAGTATGAAGAGAAAGGTCTTCGGCTGCTTGTGGAATAACAGCAAAGATGGGGCCAGCACAGCCTCCTGTGGGAGCGACTTCAGAAGTCTGGGAGCAGACAGAGAAGACCATCTCCTGAGTCCCATGACACACGCCTGTGAAGACGGTGGGATCAAGAGGAAAGTTTCCCTTGATTATATTAACACCCCAGCAGGCTCACCAAGAGAGATGTAGTCCTTGAGAAAGCTTGCACTTAAGCCATTTAGGGCTTTATAGGTGCTGCCCCAAAAAGGGGCCACTTCCCTCTTTAATGAGGAAGCTCTAGTTAGTTAGTTAGTTAGTTAGTTAGTTAGTTAGTTAGTTAGTTAGTTAGTTAGTTAGTTAGTTAGTTAGTTAGTTAGTTAGTTAGTTAGTTAGTTAGTTAGTTAGTTAGTTAGTTAGTTAGTTAGTTATTTAACTTTAAAGCTCTATCCACTCTCTGTACCATTCAGAGTTCTCGCAGATCTCTCAATCACCCTTAGTTCACTCTTAAGTTTCACACAGTCTCTCTCTACCAGAATCTCTCTCACTCACAGATTCTCTCTCATACTCCATACGCCAGCCTTTATATCCAAACCCCTCCCGCCTTGGCACCGCCTTCCGTTCACTCATTGGCTCCGTCTCCACTGCTCAGCTGTGACGGACAGGTGAGGGCAGGGCTGTTTGCTACAGTGGGGTTTTAATGTGATTCTTGTAAGATGCAATTTCAGAACTGGCCACTAGAAGAAGCCAGCTAATATTGCCCTGCATTTTTCTGGCCTGATGGGTAATAGCAGTGTAGCACATAGTGTCACCAATTACTTGCATGATCAAAGCAACAACAGCAAGAAGAAGTATGAGTAAAACAATTCAATTCCTTTTAAAATGTAACAGTATGAGTTCTGACAACAACGAAACCTCTTTGATAACACCCACAAGACACAATGTTAGCTACTATTTTCATTCTTGCTATAATTCTAAAGACTTTTAGTGAAACAAGATCACAGATGCTCCAAAACAGAACTCTGACACTGAGTTTCCACTGCTTTGGGAACATTCTTTAATGTTGTTTCCCCATGCTTTGCCAACCATGCATAATAAAAGGAAAAATGCATAAACTTTATCAATTCATACAGATCCATCATATAATGAATGCAAAATCACATGATGACTTTTGTTTGTAAAATAAACGACCTGGACTTGGGTAGCAGGACTTGCTTTCAAGTCAGACTTAAGTTGTACCAGTAACTCAACTTGGACATGACTTAGGTTTGTTTTGCTTTGCTTTGTTTTTGATGACTCAGACTCAAATTGAAACTCAGACCCTGCCCACCCTTCTGCTTATTTTCCAGGGGGAAAGCAAGTATTTAATAGGTACTTGGGTATGGGGCTTGGGACTTGGTGTCAAGGATTCAGACTTGGAACTTGGACCCAAAGACTTGCCAACATCTCTGATAAACAATACAGTGCAAAAACAGCAAGCAGAAGTTTCATTCTAGCCACATGTAGATGTGGTATTAAATCACAGCTCAGTGCTACACAAAGGAGCCTGGGGCTTGTGTAATGTACCATTTCTTCTTTTCAGGCAAAGCTGGGATGAGATTTGCAGCATTTGTTTTTCCTCAAATTAACCCCATTTTGTCCAAGAGTAAACCATGGTTTCTGTGTTTTTGTTGGTGTTGTCGTTTAGTCGTTAAGTCATGTCTGTCTCTTCGTGACCCCACGGACCAGAGGATACCAAGCCCTCCTGTCTTCCCCTGCCTCCTGGAGTTGGGTTAAATTCATGTTCATAGCTTTGATGACACTGTCCAACCATCTCGTCCTCTGTCGTTCCCTTCTCCTCTTGCCCTCACACTTTCCCAACATCAGGGTCTTTTCCAGGGAGTCCTCTCTTCTCATGAGATGGCCAAAGTACTGCAGCCTCAGCTTCAGGATCTGTCCTTCCAGCGAGCACTCAGGGTTGACTTCCTTCAGAATGGAGAGGTTTGTTCTCTTTGCAGTCCAGGGGACTCTCAAGAGTCTCCTCCAGCTCCACAATTCAAAAGCATCAATTCTTCGGTGGTCAGCTTTCTTTATGGTCCAGCTCTCACTTCCATACATCACTAGGGACCCCTTGTCTAGAGTGTGGGCACAGAGGTGCTTTCATCCTCTGCTGTTCTATCCAGCTCTCTCTGCCATACATCACTACTGGAAAAATCATAGCTTTGACTATGCAGACTATGCTCAGACTATGCAGACCTTTGTCAGCAAGGTGATGTCTCTGCTTTTTAAGATGCTGTCTAGGTTTGTCATCGCTTTCCTCCCAAGAAGCAGGCGTCTTTTAATTTCATGGCTGCTGTCACCATATGCTGACAACACTTGACAACACTTACTGGTTGGGATTAAGCCACTAACTTTGCTTAATCAAAAATGAAAGCAGATGTTTCTGATCTGCTTCTCATGGTGGTGCTGGAAGATGGGTAGTAGGGTTGTACTCTAAACAACCAATTCTGGTTTATCCGTATTTCCAAAAACCATATCATTTGTCACATAAGCAATACTTTTCAGTGAAAGCAACTGCAGTGCAGACCAACAGCACTTATGAGTGGTCAGCTCAATTTTAAGTTGATGGACTACTTAAAAACACTGCTGGCATGGATGCTGGTTGAAACTCATTCTGGCTAAGGGCTGAGTGATCAGATGACTGCTTTGCCATGCAGCAAGCAGTAATTCATGATGAATGTGTTACGTGGCCAGGGGCAACTGTCAATCAAGCCTGTTAGCTTGCAGTAAAACTGATTTACCATTTCATCTCTCCTTCCATTCCTATTCTAACTTCCACACACCGATTTGTTTTTCTTTTTTATTTGATTTGACTCAGAACAGTTTATTTCCTTTCCAAGGGTATTGCAAGACATGGTACCATGAGGATCTGGTAATTCAGGACTGGTTAACAATGCATGCATCTCTGGTACTAAAAGTCCCCAGATTAATTTTGTACCAGTAAATCAGAAGTATAAAAGTAAATCCTGTAAAATCCATCCCCTGTAGTCATGTCCACTTTGATATTTCTGTAAGTACCATATTTTTCTGTGTATAAGACTATACTTTTATCTAAAATCTTTAGAATAAAAATTGAGGGTTGTCTTATACACGGAAGTAAGCTGAGGAGAGAAAAAACAAGTGGAGGAGAAAGCAGGGATCAAAGTGATCCTGCAGTGCTTTTATCCCTGTTTTACCCTCCACTTGCTAAGCCTTAGCAAAAGGAAAGCAGGGATCAAAGCGCTGCAGGATGGCTTTGATCCTTGCTTTCCCCTCTGCTTACTAAGTCCCATGGGGCTTAGCAAAAGGAGGGGGAAAGGCTCAATCCCATGACTGTATAAGGGGGAAAGGGATAAAAAAGATCATGCAGCCGTGGGATAGCTTTGATCTCTTTCCCCCTCCTTTTGCTGAGCCCCGTGGGACTTAGCACGAAGGGAGAAAGCAGAGATCAAAGCGATCCTGAAGTGCTTTGATCCCTTTCCCCCTACACTTGCTAAGCCCCACTTAGATTTCTTAATTTTGGGTTAGAAAAGTGAGGCGTGTCTTATACATGGGGGCATCTTATACACGGAAAAATACGGTAACTCACCACCATTTTAACACTTACCCTTCAGTAAGGTCAACTCTTACCTCTTGGAGAACCCTCTTCATCTTCAGCAGTAATGTTTTGACAGCAGTACAGTCTTGCATCATGAGCCGGAAGGGCAAGGATTCCATCCCTCCACCTTCTTCCATGGCTGGAAAAGGCCACTCCACTGATGGGCTGCTGGCAAGCTGACTGACACGAGAGCACCTTGTTTCTCCCCGATCCACTTCTTTGGACAGCTTGAGAGAAAGGTTCCTGTTGACGGACAGCAGAAAAAACATTAACAGGACAATTCTTGAAGGAGCTGCCCTAAAAGATAAAATGTGGCTCAGACAGAGCCTATATTTGTAGATGCTGCCTATCCTACTACTATATAAATGCTATGATCTAAAGCAGTAATCTCTAGGATTTTCAGACCTAAGGTCAGTCATAAACGCAACCTCCTACATTGTCATCTTTCTTGTTATCATTATCTTCTGTTAGACACTTCCAAAATGTGTACAGCATTATAAAATAATTAAACTTGGTGATACGTTGTTATCTCATTTACATTTGTTCTAAAAGATGAATGAGAAGGTAGGAAGGGAGGCATGACTAAATCTAAATTAACCAGGAAGATCTGGGAAACACCTGCATTTTCAGTCACTGGACTCAGAGCTAGAAGGAACAGCTTTCAGAAAAATATTTGTGGGTAATACAGCACTGGCGTGTCCAAGGTCAGAGGTCTGAAACCCCTCTGTCCCTCCTGGAGGAAGGTTAGCTGCAGAACTGCTGGCTAGCTCAATGGTTTAGATATCTGGCTGTGGACCCAGAGGTCAGGAGTTTGATTCTCCACTGCCTCCTTGACAGGCACTGGATTGGATGATCTATAGTAATGCAGTTCTAAGCTTATTATTAAAACAACCATGCGTGGCTCATCATAAATGGCCTGCCTGCTGCATGGCCTTGGGCAAGTTTCATGTTTCCAGAGCTTCACAAGAAGGAGGGAGCAGTAAACAATCTCTAAGTATCTTATTCTTAAAAAGTCCTAGGAGGCTAATCATAAAATAACCTGGCACCACATGATTATAATTAATTATGAATAAGTTCCAACAATGAAGAAATATATTTTAGAGTTAACATAATAATGAAAAAAGAAGCTAGTGCAAAGGAGATAAGGTGAAGCATTGTTATACAGTGGTGCCTCGCTTAGCGACGTTAATCCATTCCGGAAAAACATCGCTACGCGATTTTTTTAAGCCCATAAAAACACATTAAAACTTGCTTAATGCGTTCCTATGGGCTTTAAAACTAACCTTATGCGAACATCCTCCATTGCGGCAGCCATTTTCGGTGCCTCTAAAGCGAGGCAACACAGTGGGTGGCCATTTTGTTTTCCAGTGGCCATTTTGAAACAGCCGATCAGTTGGCCGAAAATGGGGGCTTTGCGGTGATCACTTCCCTGCGATCATTGCAAAGCGATTTTTCCCCATAGGGGCCATCACTAAGTGATCGCTCTGGTGGTGGGCAAAACCCCATCGCTAAGCGATTTCATTGCTCAACGGAGCAATCGCTAAGCAAGGCACCACTGTATTTATAAACAAGAAGGATGGGATGAGTAATAAAGAAAGGATGTCAGCAGTTTTAGACAGGGTACTGGAAAATCGAGAAGGGGCAGATTGCAATATTCAAGGCTAGATAAAGCAAGAAATGATAAAAAGGAGCAATTTCTAATGTCTTTCTTTTGTTCCTCCACCCTACTATCTCTTCATTTCCTGTCTTTTCCTATAAACTACAAAGGAAATTGGTGGTTGTCCCTTAATGTAAGATTTTCTGTGACCACTATGTGAAGACTGCTGATTTTAAAACCGGTATGTGCAATTAACTTTACAGTCTGGTAGGAGGCAATATGAATGGATACAAATATTCTGATCAAATCCACATGTAAATCTAGGAAACATCCCAGCTTAATCGCTGGAATATGGATCTGTTCTCAAGGAGCAAAACATTACACCACAAACAGTTCCTTGATCTATAATTTGTTCTTAAGCTTATGTCCAATAAACTATTAGCAGAAAATATCCGAAGTATCTTATTGTTGCACAAGTGATTGTGTGTTGCAGAAGTGCTTATGGCACAAGCCATAATTATTGTTAATGAAATTTCTGTAAATTGTAAATGTTCACAAAGTTTCTGTAAATTTCAGAATGAAAGTATTGAATTTGTTGCTTGCATAAGGATGGATACAGTGTTTCCAGGAATCGTAAAAGCTTTGCACTAGCGGGCAGAATAACACCATTAAATTCAATTTCTTTACATTAAGTACTTAAAGCTAAGGCTGTGAACCTCGCAGTTTCTCACTTTCAGCAAGAAAACATGAAAAAAGCGGGGAAGGCCTCTATTCTCCTTGCAGCAAGATTTCTCTATACATGTCCCTTCACCTCTTCCTTCGAAACATTGTAGGATGTCTTGTGGCATTTCTCAGATGTTTGCATTTTCATTTCCCCCCTCTCAAACAGATACCAATCTGTACAGAATCATTACAATTCCTACATAACATAGCATCTCTCTTGAGCAAGATTTCCTGGCAAGGCATTGAGTTACAGACAATTTGGCAAGCTCCTGTGCAAAAGAGTAGGAGAAAAACAAAACAGAATGTGGCTTGTTTTCATAGGAAGCCAGAAAATCTTACTGTTGCAGCCGAAAGTCTCAGTGAGGAATCTCCGCAGGGGAAGAATTCGAAAGTGGCTGGGAATGAAAATGTTTTCAAGGATTTTCTACATCCCAACTGAAAACTCAGTGTCAACCTAATGATGATCCATGTGGGTAATCAAAGTGTTCTTGGACTGCAATTCCCAGAAGCCTTCACCACCAGTTGTAGACTCAAGTTTTCAGGACTATTCTCAAGATAGCAAGTTTAAATCTTGGGGCCACCAGATACAATGTCTGACATATTTTGCTATGAACACAAGTACAGTAGGTGGGCAACATGTGCTATGTCAGCCCTATGCATCCACCAGAGGCTCAAATGAAGCACTAGAGCAGTGGTCTCCAACCTTGGGCCTCCAGATGTTCTTGGACCACAACTCCCAGAAGCCTTTACCACCACCTCTGCTGGCCAGGATTTCTGGGAGTTGAAGTCCAAGAACATCTGGAGGGCCAAGGTTGGGGGCCACTGCACTAGAGCACTCCTGACCCCTAAATTTATTTTTTTTTAAATTTGGCCACTAGAGGGTGGAAAGTGACTTTTTAAATCTTTAAACAAAATATTTTAAAGAAAACATAAGGACCACTGTCACAGCAGCAGAAGTGGCCCTCCAAGGCCCATGGGCTGGTCTTGTGCAAATTCCAGACTTCTGCAGGTTACGCGTCCCTGCTATATCATTATTTGAAAACATTAACTTTGAAATAGTTCACCCACCATTCTGACAGAGACACTATTACTGAAAAATATGCCCCATCAATGTTCTTCCTCCCTATAGATTCAACCCCACACTTTTCTTACTTGAATTTTTCCATGGTTCCTATCCTCCATTTCAGCATAGAGTTAAATCACTACATGGAGTTAAATAACTATCATCATCATCATCATCATCATCATCATCATCATCATCATTATTATTATTA